AAAAAAAAAAAAAAAAAAAAAAAAAAAAATTAATCGATTATTCGAATCGAATCGTATCATGGTGTATTCTTGAGTATCGAAAATAATCGAATCGTTGGGTCAGGAAATCTATACTGAATCGAATCGCCGTGATGGATGTGATTTACACCCCTACTAGAAAGCATAATAGATTTTGACTGGTACGCTGATGCACCTTTATGTGTAAAAAATAGATCTACATATTGTTTAATTTTAGTACCACAGGAAGTCTGTGCTAATTAAAAATATATATATATTTATGCATTGCTATAATGTTAGTGTTAATTTACATTAGATATAAAAAAGGACAAATAAATTAGCACTAAGAATTCCCTCCATTAGAGTTCAACTAAACCTTCCCTGTTAATGGAGAATCAATTAACACTTCTTCTCTCCTCCGACTGGTGTTTTCTCCAATGTCTCACCTTAACGTAGAGCTGCTGAAACTCCTCCAGGTTGAGAATGCCAGAGGGACAGTCTTTGAGGAAACCTTTGTACCACTGCTTGAGCTCTGTCTCGTTGAACTCTGTGCTCTTGGTCAGGTCGTCCAGGACCTCGGGGGCCAGCTTACTGTTGTGTTTCCCCATGATGCCTCTCCTCTCTGGATAGGAAAGCAGAAACACAGTGTGACTAGTTGAGCATGCAGGTGAGGGGCTGCTAGACAAAACAACAACAGCAGTGACAGCCCTGTGTTGTTGAACTGCGCCAGCCTCTGGAGGATAACGCACATAATGAGGAGAAGAAAATCACTAGTGAGCAGATGCTGTGAGAGCAGGTCTGTAATATCTTTATCCATCTGTGAGAGTCACAATATTTTACAACTTTCATCTTTCAAAAACATTTTACCCCAATATTGACTTAAAATTAAGAAAATCATGCGTGGAGTTTTTTTTGTCAGTTAGGTTTTTTTCAGATAATGGCGCACATTTGAGGAGAAAATCCTTTTGGCATTTCTTTAAAAACAACAGCCTTCCTGCTACTCTTCTATAGCGTCTATATTTCTGTTTTCTACTAAATCTAGAATAGAACTTTAAATCCTCCTTCTCACATATAAAGCCATAAATAACCAAGCTCCATTTTATATCAGCGATCTGATTGCTCTAATGTTACAGAGCACTTTGCTGTCAATCAGTTTTACTAGTGGTTTCTAGAGTTTCTAAAATGTATTTTTGTAACTAGTGGCTCAGGTTTTCCTGAACTATCACTATAGTTATGCTGCTGTAGGCTTAGGCTGCTGGAGGACATAAGTACCACTTTTCATTCTGTTTCATTCTATCTCTATTCTCTTTGCAGTATTTATTTGTTCACTTTTTAACTTGATGTTCTCTCAGTTTTTTCTTTTTGTAGTATTTCCAGTAGCTCCATCTGGTCTGATCCTGTTTGGCTGTCCCTCCTGGAGTCAAATATCAGCTGACTGCTACAATCAACACCTTTAATGATGGATTATAGAGTTAGGTCTTTTTTTCAGTGCTTTGTCCTGTTTCATTGACATACCGTAGTTATGGGCTCAGATTTAACCACTTTCTACCAGAAAACTCACTCAGTTCATCTGCTTAACTGTGTCTTACCTAAACAGAGACACTTGCGAAGCTAGTTTACTGTTATATTCTCTAACATAGAAAGTATTTTATAATTTTTCTTTGGATAAACTTTACTTGCACAACTGCACTCTCTCAAACAACAGGTGCTTATTTCCAGGTACTTAAAGAATCACTTCCATACAGAAAGCCCATATTCCTATCTTCAGATACCACTTTGTACATGTCAGATTAAATAATACCAGTTATACTTCAGCAATGGTATCAAGGTGTTACTTTATTGTATGTGTTATACTATATCCATTGGTTGTGCTGTTCTTTTTAAATCCCTCTGCAGGTGATGAAGCAGACAGAAGTTTTATCATTGTATCTCTTTTATCTCCTCTTTCTTTAATATTTTCTTCTTTTTCCTGTTTATCCTTTCCTAATTTACTTATATTTCAGTGTCCGTATAATCTGTAATACTCCCTGCATAATCATAATAAAGCTATTTCTATGCATAAATCAGGCAGAACACTATGGCGACAGCCGTACTGCTCCACTTGTGAAAGCAAAATCTGTTGGGTCTTTTTTTGGCATCAAGACAAGACAACTGTGCCTCCTTTCGTATGTCTGATTTTGTTTCCTAGAACCTCCAGTCGGATTAGGCAGAAGGCCACTCACACTGAGCCTGGTTCTGCTAGTGGTTTCTTCTTCGTAACAGAATTTTTCCCTTTCCACTGTTGCTGCATGTATTCTCATGAGGGATTGCTGCAAAGTCAACCACACTGAGAGCAAATGTCTATTGGCTCTACATGCCCATCCAG